TAATTCAGTGCTTGAATATATGATCATCACGATTTTTGCTAGTTTTTTTCCTGGTTTTTGTTATCTAGCTAATCTTCTTTTATTAGGCCATTGAGCTTGCTGCTGATGCTCTTGCTAATGTCAAGTTCATCCAGGAAAAGAAGCTAATCGGAGGTTATTTTGATGAAATTAGCCAGGTAAGATTATGTTCAAATTTTCTTACGATATTCCTCTCTTTTTTCAGCATCATCTGATCGCCATTGTTTAGGACACCGGAAAGTACGTTTTTGGAGTGAAAGACACATTGCAAGCTCTTGAAATGGGTGCAGTAGAAACGCTCATTTGCTGGGAAAACCTTGATATCATTCGCTACAAGTTAAAAAATGCAGCAGGAGGTGAACTTTAATGAAGTGCTATGAAACAGTTTGGATTCTATCTGCTTTCCCACCGATTTTTATTTAAGAAGAGAAGATTCTCAACCTAAGGCCAGACGAAGAAAGAGACAAAACCCATTTCACTGACAAGGAGACGGGGCAGGACATGGAAATTGTGGAAACAATGCCGCTGCTTGAATGGTTTGCGAACAATTACAAAGTAAGTGCTACCTGTTTCTCCTTCCAAATCGCTTCACGTAATCACGGCAAAAGAATGTTGTAGAGTTTCGGAGCTACTCTTGAAATTGTTACGGACAAATCGCAAGAAGGAGCTCAATTCGTGCGTGGATTTGGAGGAATTGGAGGTAAATTAGTTGAAATAAATGCTTTTTTACATTGGTCACAAAAAAGTGCTTTTCATTGAGGTCTCCTCCGTTACCGAGTGGACATCGTCGGTGATATGGCTGACGAATTTGATGACATTAACTTTGATGACTATTGACCTCGTGCGGCGGCTGGCAACCATTGGGGCTTTTTGATTTCTTTTTCAATTATTTTCCGCGTAGTACAATTATTTTCTAACGATTTGCTGTTTAAGCCATCCACTCAGTCTTATTCATGTTTAGAAGTCATATTTCTGTATGTGTTTTGGATCATCACTCGCTTACCCCTCTTGACGTCCTCATATCAAATTCCTTGTTATTATCTCGTTTCCCTTCCACTTACCTTCTTTTTTACCCCATTTTCCACCTCTTGTCCAGCCCAATGCTTTGCTCTGCCGCCGTACCAAATACGCCGTCCGTCACTAAAAAGGAACCGATGGCGACAGGACGCAGTTCGCAGTCACCTGCTCCTGTTGCGCCAACGATTGTGCCAGCGGAGTTCTACAGAGTTGCCAAACATTGCGCTTGTTGGCCAGGGGTACGTTCTATACTCACAACTCATAATATCAACAGGATATCCAAATGATTTACTCACTCAGTTGACTTATGTTGAAAAAATACCGCTTTACGCTTACAACTCTTTCCAATGCTCAAATATACTTTCCTATCATATAACCATTTAACCATAATGCTGTTCTTTTCAGCTCGAGGTGGGACTTCTTTTCTTGTCTTCCCATGTGGGTCATTACCATCGTCACCCCGTTGAAGACAACACCCCCTCCCCCCTCAATCTTGCATCCTTCGTTCCGCCAGAAGGTGTCGTCGAGGGAATCGACGATCAATGTGTTCAGAGAATATCTTCTTTTGTTGATTGGGTCAAACTCAAGTTGTGATCGTTGTTCCTTCATTGAATATTCCTTGTTTTGTTGTAGGTCTATGCGACCGTCTCATCTCTCCAAGTCATGCACTCTTTCCGTTCTAAGTCTTGAGGGTGTGCACGTCTTTTTCTGTAACCTCCTCTATCTGCGCTATAACCCGCGTGTTGGTTGATACATTGGGTCTAGAAATAAAAATCTTAAAATTTTCTCGTTATTTTATTGGTAAGGTTTCTGCCCTCGCAATGTTCCGCGAAGTTTATGCCTGGCCTTTGGCCGAGTAGTAAAACTAGAACACTCGACTTCCATAGCGTGAATCGAAGAGCGGCTGTTATCTTTGGGGCGGTGTTTTTGCGCCATTTGTGGCATCTCTCGCCGGTACATTCATTTTACTCTGTAATTGCGCAGCCAAAAACATGGTTGCTACCCAAATGGTAGGTTCAAGAAATCATATTGTTTTTAAGAAATTTGTAGAGTTTTTGTTTTTAGCATCTGCTGTAAATACTGGAAAAATCAATGCTTTCTTTAATTTATTGAACCTCAAACGGTTAGATGCAATAATCCAAAAGTTTCGTAGCCAAATTTGCAAGTTCAGATGTTCATAGTTAGAGAAATAATTATTTGCGACTATGGGAATCGCAATATCTTTTGGTCCATATCAAACCTTTGTACCTTGCAAAAATCAAGCACTTCTGCAGCTATTTGTTGCGTTACGATTATTGGTGACCTTGACAATACCCGCATTCGTGCTCTGCAGCCCGTTCAGTTGTAAAGTGGACAAACGCCCACAACGCTTTCTACCAGCTTGTTTTTTCGTTTATCAATCTTACTATCTTTATTTATGGACCACTGTTGTAACAATTCATCTTTCTAAATATTATCATTCCAGTCTATAGAAGAAGCAACTCAACCAAGGATGGGTCTTGATAATCAGACAATTATTGTCACCGGTGTTGTTCTGTTGATCTCGTCCCTAGCGGCTGTACTCTTTTTCAAAAACAAAAAGTCCTTTTTTTCAGGTAACTGGCAGCAGGTAAGCGTGGCGTTTTTTTTTGTCGCTGTGACATTAAACAATCCATCATAGAACCCAATAACATTGGTTGATGAAGAGACCAAGTATGCTTTGCCGCTAGCTGAAAAAACTGAGGTCAGTCACGACACTCGAAGATTCCGCTTCCTCCTTCCGTCACAACACCACGTCCTTGGTCTTCCTATAGGTCAGCACATCTTCTTGAGTGCGAAGGTAAGGTAATTTTCGCTTTTCCTGACTACACCCTGCATAAATGTGGGGAAGTTGAGCTTTCTCTGTATGTTTCCACGCAATAGCAAACGAGATTTTGTTCGTCTATTTAGTTCATCTGTCTATCGTTGCGCCGTTTTATCAGCAGCATTGTTTCAGATCGATGGAAAGCTCGTAGTGCGTCCGTACACACCTGTATCTAGCGACGATGACTTGGGCTACGTTGATCTTATGATTAAGTTTAGCTTAGAACTCTACTTTAAGCTCTATATAAGAGTCAAAGCGCTTTTTTCATAGGACCTTTTGGTTAGTACGCTCCGCTGAAACAAGTTGATGATATCAAAGTAAATCTTAATATATGATGTATGTTGATGAGGGTCTTAGAGAAAGCTTTCAATGCTTTGCGACCGAAGTTATTGTACCTCCTTGCCTTACATTACAACAATATATGCCGTAAAACATGCAGAAAGAGTTAGTTTAGGGCATATTGGTGCATATCGCCTGAGCAGCAGTCATTTAATTTGTGTTTAGTTCGGCTGTATGTATTTCTTGCCCATACTTTGTCATCTAGTTTTGCTTAACTCCAAATGATTTAGGTGTACTTCGCCGGAAACCATCCGAAATTCCCAGATGGCGGTAAGATGAGTCAACATCTGGAGCATATGAAAATTGGCGAAACTGTATGTCTCACAACGTCATTAATATTAACAAGTTGATGACTTTTCTTAGATTGACTTCCGCGGACCGTCAGGCCTGATAATATACAAGGGCAATGGAAAGTTTGCGATAAGACCAGATAAAAAATCACCTCCCAAAGAGCGAATATTCAAAAGCTTATCAATGATTGCTGGAGGAACTGGCATCACGCCCATGTTACAGGCGAGTTCAATGACTAATATTTACATTCTTTCGCTTCCTAATATTTAAAGTTCTCAACGCTACATGCCACTGGCATTCTTCTCCTCTCTTGATCTTATCGCGAAACTTAATTTGTGAAGCTGATCACATCTCGCTTCTCTCTTTCTTTAATGACTTTCTTAGAATTTTAGCTGATAAGCGACATCGATTTCAAGTCGCCCGTACAAGGTTCTTTCATCACAAGTATTTTAAACATCCCACCTTGACGAATGAGGCTTAATTTTATCTCCTGTCATAATAGCTGTGTTTGTTCTTTTGCTCATTTGACTTTCTTCTTCTCGCTTGTTCATGTCTTGCTTAGTTTTTCTGAACACTGCCTAAAGTATATCCATTCACAAAAAATCAATCAAAAATCGATAATATAAAGCAAAACGCTTTTTTTCCGGCTTGAAACGACATAGTTTCATTCTTCTAACACCAAGATTGTTAAATGAGAGTTATTGCTATGAAAAGTTTGTGATGGGATCCCACTAGCGGATTATACGCATGTATTCGAACTAGAAACATCTCTGTCTTAGTTCCAGGAGATGAAGGAAGTCCGTTTCAATTGATCTCTAAACCCTATGTTTTATTTTTTCGCGCGTGTCGCTGTTTAAACTAGTGCGAGCAATGCACCACCAGAGATCATCCCAGAAGGCAACGCCAGGAAGACTATATTTGCACAAGAGTTCATTACAATAGGACATCACACCATAACGTACCATTTTTACTTCGAAGGCGTGCTACTGCTTTAGAAGAGAGTCAATTAATTTAAGAAGTGGCTCTTCGCATTAGTGATCTACACTGCAGTGATGTTAGATAATCAAGTAGAGACCTTCCTTCATAGATCAAAGAGTACTTGTAGTGTAGAGAATGTTCGTCGATCATTTTGCAGGGTGACTGAATGATCTTTATATAATATGCGCAACTTACTTA